TTCAAGTAATACTGAGACTACTATAACACATAGTTATAGTAGTCTCAGAGTAATATAAGCAATAGGTCGACTATATTTGGTGTATGGAATGATGTAAGGTGTACATGTCTGTCTAGATGGTATCATCAGACCTTGACCACATTTTCATGGTTCATTTGTCAATATTACGTTTTTGTGTTTTGGTCTGTTTTTCAAATACTTAGAGCAATAGGTCAACTATATTTTGTGTTTGGAATAATTGTAATGTGTACATGTCTGTCTGGCAGGTTTCATCTGACCATGACCTCATTTTCATGGCTCATTGGTCAATGTTACATTTTTTGTGTTTTAGTCTGTTTTTCAATTACCATAAGCATTAGGTCAACTATATTTGGTGTATGGAACAATTGTAAGGTATACATGTTTGTCTGACAGTTTTCATCTGACATTGATCTTTTAAAATATTAGTTTATTGGTACTTGTAGTAAATCCTTGGTGTGAGTGTCTCTTCTTTTAAAATCTATTTACGAGACTTGAACATTGCGGTAATTTACTATCGCCATAATTTAGGATTTTTTTTATTTCAAACCGAAATTCTTAAGAAAATTCCATTTTTTTTTTATATAAAGCCAATCTTGGAATATTCCGATGAACTATTATGGATTATTTCTACGGTCATTTTAATTCATGAAATAGAAAGTGTCTAATTAAAAGGAGTACGGATTGTGACTGGAGGGACACGATTAATATGATCAATTAATACACTATATAAGTATACTTCAATCTATATCTACTGTAACAAGAACACCATTATACTCGAACTATTTTCTTTCCACAACAATGAAATTCTAGAACTCCTAGACTGTTGCATTACAGTCAAGTTCATCCCTCAGTCTCGCCTTCAAAAATTATTTTAAAAGGAATCATACAAGTCAACTAGGCCTATATTTTTGTTATTGTGGTTCCCTTCCCAATCTGGTCAAATATCAAGTTCATGCAAAAATAATAATAAACTAGCGTTCTTAACAAACGTCTCTATTACAGAAAATTGAAACAATCCATAAACTGCGTTTTGGGAAAAATTGAAAGTACTCAAACGCAAAAGATTCAATGTATCTCGTCAAAGAAACATAGAAAGCCTAGGTCTTTTAATCAGAATTTCCACAAAATTTTACTTTTTGGCTCCGATTAATTATCAGTAGATTAAAACAAATAAAACTATTTAAAAGCTGTCCAATCTTTATTATGAGTTGCAATCGACTAACATCTACAATCTAATACCTCTTCACTCCTCCCTTCAAAAGAATATTTTCCATTTCTATAATATCACTGTTATTTTACTTATCACATTTCTTCTTCCCCATGAACTAACACTGTATGTATATGGATAGACATAACATCCGATAATGATCTTTATTTAGTTTACTGTATCCATTGTACATATATTTTGCCCTTACTTATTCGTCTGTGTATCAGCATGTAACATAGTTTTGCAATTTTTTACTGCTTTTACCCTAATCCCATTTTTTTAAAATTTCTTCCAACTTGATTATACTAGTATTCATACACATATACTATATATATCATGTACTGTGTTACAACTCTAGATTTTACTAACGAGGAATGGTAACACTAGGCCACCAAAAGCTGAATCTTTCAATGAGTCTAGTCTAGGTGGCCGAGTGGTCTAGAGCGCTGGACACAGTGCAGGCGGTGTTGTCACGATATCCCAATAACATGAGTTCGAACCCGGCAAGGGAAGAACAAAAATTACATTGGTGTGCTGATATAATATTTAGAGTAATTATGAATATAATATGTGTTTTCAGCCGTGTATAATATGGCTAATCTGCAATCAATTCCACCTTAATGCCTAATATATTATGTACTGTGTTACAACTTTAGATTCTACTGACGAGGAAAGGCAACACTAAGCCACCGAAAGCTGAATTTTTAGTTCAGTCTAGGTGGCCGAGCGGTCCCAAGCGCTGGACACAGTGCAGGTGGTGTCTCAATATCACAATAGCAAGAGTTCGAATCCCGTCCTTTCAACAAACAGTTTTGATTCGAGCACCACTGCATATTTAGTGGACTAAAAGCGCCTCTGTTGTACCTATTTATATATATATATTTATACGCATGATATCTTTGATGAGTGTTCATCTCTTTTAGAGTTCTCTATGGCTATATACGATATCTTATAAACTTTATGTGGTGTTCGAATCAAAATTTGAAGTTCCTGGAAGATTTGAAAAAAAAATTGTTAAATGAGGAGGAAATGTTCTATATATATTTAAAAATTATAAGGCATATTTTATATTGTTTGATAATTTTTTCATCTAATCTGATTTGCCATAAATTTTGTATAATCACAAATCCTTTTTTTTTTTTTTTTTCATATTCTATCAATCAAATAATTCTATTCCTATGTTATGTTGTTTCTATTACTCTCGTGTATCCCCACCCCCCACCCCGTGAGCCCTTTCATTTGGAATAATGTACTCGTCTTCTTATATATACAAAAGAGAGGCCAATAATTCCAAATGGATATTCAAACAACAGTCGAAAACAAACTAATAACGCCATGGCAAAAACATAAAACGACCAAAAGACAAAAAAAGTGCACAAAAAATAACCACCGAAAACTAAATACTGAGCAAAACGAACCCCATCAAAAACCGGGGGTAATCATTGGTGCTCCAGAAGGGCAAGCAGATTCTGCATTTAACACCGTCGTGTAGCTCATGTTAGTACAAACACGGTGATAAGTATTATTCGGTAGATCACATTCGAGAAAAAGTGGAAGGGATTGTGGTAACGACAATTAGAACATATCAGTCGTCATTTGTGAAACAGATAATATTCCAAAACGGTCAACCAATTTGTGATGGAGTCCGAAAAATTTTGAAGGGATGATTTCAACTAAACCACTTGGAACTCTTGGTTAAATAGATTCCTTAAATAGCAGCAACCCTTCATCAAGGAAATGATAAGATATGCAAGCTCTTGAATATCGTATCAACTGCTGGAATGTTGGCTACATAGAAATGGAAAGTTTACGATTAATTGGGAGGCTGAAATCATCTATTTTGTCCTAAAGTTTTGTTTTAATTGACCCTTGTCAATTTCTAGATGCAGGTCAATATATGAGACATACTTTATTGTCTCTATTGTATCCTTTATTTCAAGTTCGATGCAATAGATGCCTTCAACATAGTCACCAATTGCAAACTTTAAATTATTTATTTAAAGGATATCATTTATATAGCGGAACATGAAGTTAAAGGATAATGCTAGATATTTTTCATTCTTCCTATGAATCTGCTATATATATATGAAGTCATCCGCATATGAATAAAGGAAAAAAATCGACAAGAAGAGGAGCACAGTTGCTTCCCATAAAGATGCCGATTATTTGTTGAAATTACGTCATCCAAACGTAACACATTTGTTGTCAATCAAGATAACAAACATCTTGATAATGTCAGTTTCTGAGAATTTTCTGTTTGAATCAGAGTGATATTTTTACAAAGTACGATGTATCCCTCCCTAGACAAGATACTAGTATTTACGTTGAAAATTCTTTTTATGAAACTAAGAAGGGCCAATTCTTTCAGTCAATTTGTCTTTTAGTTTGGAATGGGGAAACCTGTTTAAAGGGTAGAAAAGTCAAATGTTTTGAGATCTTTTAATACTATTGCAGGAGGAAAGAGACTTAGAAAGTATGTTTTCTAACAGAACTTTAGAATTTTTAAGTATCCACATCTGATTCACGCCGCACCACGAGTGGGTAGTTTCACTATAACTTTGAAGCTCGGCTTTGATTGCTGATAAATTTGATGTAAATAATTTATGAAGAGGTTTCGTGGAGCACTTGGAAGTTCCAGCAATATAACGTTATATGTAAGGACACAACATTATGTAATTTTGATATCTAATACAGAGAAGGAAGATCCAGTTCTTCATCTTTGGTTGAATCTTCAAAAAGGAACATAGAGCAGACCTATGATTATTCATGATTTTCTCTTTGATGAGTGTCAATGGGGCTTAATCTGCAGGGACAACAACATATTTGTTATAGAGGTTGAACATGTGTTAAGCAAAATTTGGGTCTTTTAAGATCGATGTAGCATGTGTATTCATATATACTCATTCAGTGTTTAAATTATAATTTGTACTAACGTCCTCATAGCCATGACCCATTCGGAAAGAGTATAGATCTACGTCTTCTTTTTTCACGTTAAAAGATCGCTAAGAGTTGCTTGACTGCCATTTACTGTAACTTGGCCTTAAGTTGCATGAAAAATATACATACAGAACCCCCCCAAAAAAAAAGATTGATATGAGTCAATATATCTGGACAACCCCTTCTTTATTTTTATCTGTTTGCTTAAAATACTGAAAAAGATATATATTCAACTTATTTACCATGGGTGCCGATTTAACCAGGTGCCGATTTGACTAGGTGTCGATATGACTATACCGGGTGCCGATTTGACTATGCTGGATGCCGATTTGACCAGGTGCCGATTTAACCAGGTGCCGATTTGACTAGAATTTTCTCTGTGCTAGTCCAAGGGGAATCCTTTTGAAGAAGCGTGTCAGTAATACTTTTTTACTTTTTAAAATTTTGATTTGAAACTACAACATTTAACTAATTAAAGAACACCAAAGTAACATTGTTGAACTTCAAATCAGAGATAAAGTTCTACAACTCATTGTAAAAAATAAAGTAACGTTTGGCCTTTGACCTGAGTACTACCACAGGCCGGCCTAATATTAAGGTAAATAGGGAAAAAATTCAGAGACAAACGCCTAATCATAGTAGTCTCAGAATAAGTTAATGTGAAAATAAATCTTTTGGAATTTGAATATCAGATTATTGAAATAAAAGAAATTTCAATCTCAAAATAATTTTAGATTTAAAAACGTAACAAAGAGACGTGATGTAAAATTTCAAAACTAAAATGCGGAAACTGTCTTTCATCGTCCGTATTTGTCTTCAATTTAGTATATTGGTTTCCTGTTTACATTTGTCACATTTGACACTTGCCACCTGTCCATTGCCAACTCCATATTCAATGGGTAATTGTGAAACCCCACGGAACGAAGATTCGAAATGAATAATGTTTTTGACGCATTTCTCCGTCAGTCTTCTTAATGTCTCCATTCCTGTCTTCTTCTTCACGTAAATCCCTCAAACATTGCCATTGCCGGCATTGGCTCAAGCTTACTGTGTTCACTTAACAGAACAGTTTTGAATTAACATATTCAAAGTTAGAATGTGAATAAGTCCTCCGTCAGAAAAAGTTACACTTAAACACTCATAAGTTCGACAAGATACATGTACATATTGAATTAATCCATGGCCAGAATTCCTGAAGTTAAAATGTAGTTTTATTAAAAGAAAATGTGAAATATCTCAAATATATGAGGGTAGGAATGCCCTTTATTGTCAAGTGTCAAACTTCCTTTTTGACTACCGCTAGTGTCAAATGAGCATTATTTTTTAACATCGTTCTTCAAATCTCAGTTTGTAGCTACAGTTAGTGTCAAATGGCTTGAAATGTTTATCATTAACAGACAAATATTTTATGGTCATTTGTCATGTGGGTATCCCATTCATACCATTCCTACCCTCAGATTTATTCATAATTATCAATAAAAGCTGTATTACACCATATTAAATTGAGTTTTTGGATAATAACTATAGGTTCTTTCTAACTTTTTGGGAATTCTCAGGAAGTGGTTGTAGTACCTGTTGTACCCTCCCTTTTGTGATTCTGTGTCCAGAATGATTTTTTGATTTTGCCACCCTCAAAATGACCCTCTACTTTAAATGTTAACAGACTTGCCAACTATCCCGATTTATGGGGGATATCCCCCATGAGAGGTTTTGACCTGAATTTTAGAATTCTATATTATATAAACTGAACACCTCAAAACAGGCATTCAAATGAGTTAAAAGGGTATTTAAGTACATACATACTCATTGAAACAATATAGTAGTAGATTAAAAACACTTATGACAATATAAGAGGTGCATTAGGTCCTCATGCGCTTAAAATCCCCCATGGAGATTTCGAAAAGTTGGCAGGTATGAGATGGCATATTTTTTGTATTAAATTTTGTAACAAAATGGACATACATATGTATGACTACCTTGAAAGGTAAGGTATTTTCAAAAATTTGAACAAATTACATGTCATGTATGTAAGGCAAATTATATGTATTCTTTTCAATTCTTACCTGCTTCATGTGTACAGAATGTTGATGTAAGCATAAAATACACCTGTTTGAAGTGAGGTAGTTGGCAAACATTTTCAAAAATAGACTTATTAGGGCTTGATAAGGGATTGTGAGGGCAGACAAAGCAGAAAATCGCTCCAGACACAGAATCCCAAAAGGGATTAATATTGGTAAAAATTGAAAGCAATGTCAAGCTGAAGGTTCATCATAAACTTTTGTCAACTATAACTGTATTTACACCATTAATTCTACTCTGACATGTCTGAGTACAGAAAAACCTGTGCACCTGGAAAAATTTAATGATATGGCATGGATCGATATAAAATAAAATTTAAAACCATTTTACATCTTTAAGTTTCAAAATTATAAAGATTTAACTGGATTCTGGCATTTCTGCTATTATTTTTTTTATTATTCCTGCATAAGTTGTACATAAATTTACAAACCAAATTTGTAAAGAAGAAACATCAGTTAAATTACTAATGTTAAAAATTGGTAAATTTAATTTCTTATAATTATTAGTATTTTTTTTATACTGTACCTATAGCAATCTACAGGGACCTTGCTGGGCTTCAAATTACGATTATATTTCCCAGGTGACAAAATATGGCTGCTGGAGATATATCTGGCATCAACCTTTTCCAATTTCAGAATTTCATTTCTTGACTGTAATGGTAATGAAATCGATATCTGGCATTTATAGGTAAATTTGTCATATGCTAGCACTTGCCTAAAATCTACGGCACAGGTAAACAGATTAACAAAGGGTGAAAGTGTTTTTCATGCATGTTCAGGACGAAAACAAATTAACAATAAATACAATAGGTAGGTCCTGTAACAGAGGCCATCCAGGATGAAGGTCAGGAAATTTAAGCTAATAAAATTGAGAATGGAAATGGGGAATGTGTTAAAGAGACAACAACCCAACCATAGAGCAGACAACAGCTGAAGGCCACCAATGGGTCTTCAATGCAGTGAGAAACTCCCGCACCCGGAGGCGTCCTTCAGCTGGCCCCTAAACAAATATGTATACTAGTTCAGTGATAATGGACGCCATACTAAACTCCAAATTATACAAAAGAAACTAAAATTAAAATTAAGACTGCCACTGGAAAATGAGGGTATCTGACATAGATATTAAGGGACAGAAATTTTGCCTTGCCACAGGCCACCTACGGACCCCTCAAAGAGTTGTTACAAGGGCTCTTAAAGTCGGTGAGTGTGGCACACTCTCTACACGAGGCATTAGATTGAATGTCCCCATTTTGACTGGTTGTGGCTGCGTTCTTGTATATCCCTTGCAGCAAAACGTACACCCCTGGCACTTTGGCAAGGGCTTTACTGCTGGTCGAAAGGAGACCTGTAGTGACCATATTTCTTTTCCCTTGGGGTGGTGATGACTATAAGTTTACATTAAAAGTTATTTACCGCTACATTGACAACAACACTTAAGTAAACTGCATAAGTGTTGTTGTCAATGTAGCGGTATTTGATTTTTTATCTGACAACCCTGCATACCATCTGGTATCCACTTAAGGGAACTCTACCAGGACAAAACATAGGAGGCGTTGGTTCAGCAGCTCTTTATTTATATTAAAAGTTATTGTGCTAATTAACAAGAATTTGTAAATTAATAAAAGCTTGTTCTTATTTAAGCCTCTAAGGTCATATTGTTTGTCAAACATGTAATTGTTGTATAAACAAGACCACTTTCTCTCTAAAAGGTGACAAATTATCAATTGGAATTGAAAAATTGAACATACCAGTAGTAGGTATTTTTAGCGACCTTGACTACCCATGAGAGTCTCACACAGTCGGTATAATCATAGACACAGAAGTGCACTTTTATTATTAAAAGATAATAAACACTGAAGCAATTTCATGTACTCCCCATTGTGTTTGACCCTGTAATTTCAGATTTCGAATATAAACTGCATATTTTTCTTTGACAAACTGGCTATGAAAATAACAGAAATTCATTGTACTGTTGACAAGAAAGAATGGTTAATAGTGAAAACTTAGTAGCCATAGAATAACCGGGCTATGCATGATTACACAACAAATCATTTGAAATTAAACTGTATCACAGTTTCAATTTGGGTAGAGGAAATCAAGACTCCAGCTGGCTCTTAAGATGGCTTCAAGTTTTCCAAACTGGGGACAAAAAATGGCAGTTAGCGATTTTTCTGCCTCCAACTATTATGAAACCAGAGCAGCCTTTGCAATCTTCTTGTTCATGTAGGAGAAGAACGATTTAGAACTTGACATATTATATATACACCTGTCTATTCTTGAGGACTTTTTGACCTCTTGATGTCTTTTGGTTATTTTTGTTGTTTGGTTGATGTCTTTTCACACATACCTCACACCTCCATTTATTGATACAGGTCCAAACATTTATTTACTGAATTATATAACACTGTATCTTGTAACCATGGTAACTTTCAAAAACATTTTTTTCATTTTCAATATGGAAACAAATGAACATGGAAGATGTCACCACACAAGTAAAAGTTGTTGTCTAAAAATTATGAGGATAAAATTATTTTTTTTTAATGATTGAAATATCTATCTAAAATGATTTTCTTATAGCTATTGTTATTATGTGATGTTATAATTTGTATAAAATAAAAGATGCTGTTTACAAAATTCTAGGTGTACCAGGATGTTATATGAAATTCACAGACAGAACACTGTACATCCATGAAACAGCAACCCAACAACACAGAAAAAAAGACATCTAAATGTCTACTTTAATAAAAAAAAAAGAAACCTCTGTTTGTCTAACATTCAAGGAAAGTCATAATCATGATAATAGCAAGATATATAATATATATATATATATATATATGAGGTATTACTTTTCTGGTGGTGGAATTAGCCAAATTAACAATATGAAGATCATTATCTTCTGACCAGGATATAACTGTTTCCAATTTTTTTTCAAGAAATATTGATATTTTTGTCGACATATGTAACCTGTATTTGAGGTAGAAATGAAACTGTTTGATCATGTTGATATATTTCAGGAAGACATTTGATTGTAATAATAATTGACCTATAAATCATAGTACAGTTACTATTTTCAATGTCATATGAATGTTGTATTATATACATGGTATATTTTCAGACAAGAAGATATGAAAAAAATATTCTGTATGGAATGGCACAAGAAGAAGATGGGAAAAGAAAGTTTATATTATTGTTGCGATCACCAACTGAAGGAGGCATAGACCAATATCATAAGGTAGACATTTTTTTCATTATTAATTAATTTGTGTTCTGTAGTAAACCCTTTATTGTTTCTTACTCTCAGATAGAATTCAAAAGTGGAATTCATACAACTGTTTGGTATCTCAAATAGAATCATGTGAAAATACGACCATACTGTGGGATTCCAATTATTTTTTACTATTTTCAGATATAAAAGTAAGGAGATGTGGTATGAATCCCAATGCGACAACTATCCACCAGAGGCCAAAGTGTGTGGATGTGAACAACTATAGGTCACCAAACAGCCTTCAACAATGAGCAAAACACATACTGCATAGTAAGCTAAAAAAGACCCAGGCTTTACAAAATATTTCAACATAATTAGATTTCATTTGACCATGAACTTGTTAAAGAACTTTAATATGATTTTAGATTTAATTACGCATAACTTAACATATATATTTCTATCCAGGTATAAACATGTATGGTCCTACATACTATCAAAACCTATTTTTATTCTGTTACCAAAGTTTCAGTTTTCAAGTGCCCTCTGTGGTTTGCCAGAAAAACATTGTCATTATAATTGGACATTTGTTTTCTGAAGTCTTTTTAAACAATATCATCATGATCATTGAGTCTTCCAAAGTTTGACTAAGGTTAAGAAAAAAGGTGAATAGGACTTTTATATTCAGTAGAAAGACATTCCTTAATGGGCTCCAGTTTAGCTGTGTGTGAGTGGAAAACATTCACCTGCTCAGAAAGAGGAAGTTAAATGAAGTGCTCTATGTCTAGAGAATGCAATTCTTTTTTGTCATTCTAAGAATTCTTGCAACAGCTCTTTGATGAGTATGAAAGTCAACTCTTGCATGATAAGATGTCCTCCCTTTTCCAAAAATCTTTTATCATTTGCATTCCTTTATTTCCTTCCCTTCATACAAGTTAAACAAGCTTTGTAAAATTGACTATTTTACATATTATTTGAATTGTTCTTGTACTGTATATAATTATATTTTCAATGCACAAAATAATAATTTTCTTAAAGGTTATCAATTTACTTTATTGATAATCTTATTTTCAATAGTTTGATACATAACTATACAAATGTATATATATATATTGCTATCCAGTAAACACTAACATCCCTTAATCATCTTTATACCTTTTTTTTTGTTACATATATTGTGCAAAGTGATGTTTTTCCAGACTGCTTATGACATCTATTCATCTAGGAGTATTGCTTTTTTTTTGGTCTTGAAAACATGGCTATTTGAACTTATTTCATAAGTTGAAATTGTGCTTTGAACTAATTTTTTTGTAACTATCTGTATCTTGTTGTTGAGCTATGTAACAATCTGATGAGTCAAGTCCTTTTCAACTGACTTTTACATTTTGTTCTATTGTTGTTCTGTTACACCACTCAGTGTTCTCTTCAATAGCTTTAAATAACACCATGGAATTTGAAATGGCACTGTTTCCCTTAAAATTATAGCATGAAATTTATAGTACATTCTAATTATTATGAAATCTATATTCAAATAAACACAATGCTGCATTGAAGACCCATTGGTGGCCTTCGACTGTTGTCTGCTCTATGGTCGGGTTGTTGTCTCTTTGACACATTCCCCATTTCCATTCTCAATTTTAATTTTACAATGGTAAAAAATATATTGCCATGGTACCATGAGCTACTTATACCCCATTATATTTATAAAAATAGAGAATAATTATTTAATTACATGTATTTCTTTTTGTGCTTCTCTGCTTTTCACCTAGAATTTAGAACTAAGAGAACCGACTGGTTGGCTTATATTCAGTATAACTTGCCCTTCAGACTACACATTAAAAATCCAACTCCTTGTCCAAGTCAAAGTACATATTTTCACATGCCTTAATTGGTCTTAAATATCCAATGTATGTAATAAATGCTTCTTGATGTTAAAAACCCATCATTACCAAGTTATCTAGGGGAGACAATTTGAGATGTCTCCCATAGGTATTTTAGCTAAATAAGATATTTATGATAATTTCATGCATGTATGGCTTTTGTTAAGTTTAACTTTAAGGTCTAGATAATTTATATCCCTGTGGTACTGTGGTTAATTGTTGGATAACTGACTATTATGAATATAAGGAGTTATGGATTGATGTACAATGTATGTCATTGAGCGACACAAAAATACCAATAAAAAGAAAAGACATCAAGACATCTTATGTATGTTCTTCAACAACAGACAAGTGTATACATGTACATGTATGTTCTTCAACAACAGACAAGTGTATACTTGTACATGTATGACAAACTCTAAATCTCAACTTGTCTAGAAAAGTTATGAATGAATAAAAAAAAATCTCTTCAAAGATATCAGGCTTACAACAGAGACCCCAAAAGATCTACCACTAACAACAAATTACCTAAATAATAAAAAAGAACCAATTGAAGGCCGTACAGTGACCTATAGCTGTTAACTTCTATGTCATTTGGGTCTCTGGTGGAGAGTTGTCTCATTGGCAATTATACCACATCTTTTTGTTTTTATATACAAGACAAACTGTGGTGGTATAATCTGCAGTCTTATGTCCTTTTAAAGTATCATAGCATCTTATAACACATTGTCTAGTTCTTACCCTATTTATATTTTTCCTGACTGATTGATTTTTTTTTATAATCAATGTGTGGTTCATTTGTTTACAATTCTTTATTGGTCTCAATATTTGAATCATAAATATTTAAATGCTCTGCAAGCCATTGCCTTTTAAATATTAAGATTTAATTGACTCGAGCTGAGAAATGCCATATCGCTATGATGCAGCAGTAGAATCTATATTTATAAGAGTATTTTTTTGAGTGTTTAATAAGAGATAAACTGCCAACAGTATTATAAAATGTAATGTTTACCTTGATTTACAGACATTAGAAAGTGAAGAATATAACCCTGTAAGTGTTCCAGTTCTGAAGTTTAACTTTATCAACATTGATGAATATACTGACAGACTGTCAAACTATACCAGTTACCATTCCATAGTGTTTACAAGCCAACAAGCTGTTAAAGCCACACAGGAAGTCATCCAGTCATGGAATGGTTTGTTTGATTAAAAAAAATCAAGAACATTAGATTCAGTTATTACTGCGGATACCAAATGTTTGTGGATTAAAACATTTCCAATAATACTTTGATAATGTGGTTTTAAGAATTTCTGTATACAAACCTGCAGGAAATTTGTCTAATGATGAATGCTTGAATCAGTGATTAATTTTTACCATGAAATCCATCATAGTACCCCATAAGTAATAAAATTGAATCCACTGTATGTTTTATTAAGAGAATGTAAAAAAGATAGAAGAGGAGCTTGAAAATAGAGGCTGACATATATGCATACAGAACAATGCTTCTGTTTACATTTATAGTATCCATATAATCTTTATCTTAACCGCTTGTCAACCAATATGGCCGACATAGCTAAAATAGAACATAGGAGGTAAAATGCAAGTTTTGTCTTTTTTCTTGAAAATGCTATAGATACATGTCTCTAGAAAATCACACGAGCAAAATTCATCAGAATGTTAACTCTACCTCCTGTCTATTTACATCAAAACTGTCAGACAAGATCTACAAATAAGTCAACTTGGCCGAAAACGCCAGATGAACCCTTATAAGAGTAATTCCCTTAATGACAGTTTTTGGAAAATGACGCTATCAGCGGCATGTTTCCGATACCATTGACCAGAACTTACGGAAGTCGATTATTGCCTCCGCCTACCGCACCATGTTTCATATTTACTATTTTACATACTAACTGGAATCTGCTTGTATTACGCTACACTCGAACAAAGAGTTGTAGTCGGACGGGAACCAGTTTACATACTTTATTTTATTTACCAAAAAGATATCTTGACCTGTCCATATGTTTTTTGTTATTAAATGGTATTTGGAGCTATCCCTTTGTTATATTTTTCATATTTATTCGAGCTTTCACTTTTATGCACATGTCTTACAATCGTAAACAATTGGTGTGTATACATGATAAATAGATCCGTTCTGTTGTGGTGTTGGACTTTTTACCCTCCAATGATCAGCAATCGCTAGACAAAATAGTTCTCCTAAATAATGTCAGCCTTTCATGCCATTTCAACTTTACAATCATTAAAAAAAGTGAAAATCGGAATCATTTTGATATCCATTGGATAGAAACTGGTCTCTATCCAGATTTACGAAGATTTTAAAAATCGGAAATGAGTAATACGGTTATACCCACGCGGTGCGTATGAATCTTTGTTTACAAAACAGGATTTCAGAACATCTCTAGTTTTTAGATCGTAAGTCACGATAAACTCAAACTGAAAGTAAACAGTTGTTTGTAAGACGCAGGTTTACTCACCATAAACAAGCTGAAACGTTTAGTATGGCATATATTTTAGGTTAAAGACGGTCCCATTCATTTAAAAAGCATTTTGAAAGTAGACGATGGGATTATTTCAGGTTTGGGGAACGAGTAAATTATCACAAAGTTCATTTCTTGACGACCTCATAATTTCATCATGTCGATGGTACAAATCGATTTTTACTGTTTACTGTCGCTTCTCATGTTTTGTATTTAAAAGGTTGTTTATTTTTAAACCTGAACCAGGCATATGCATTCTGTAATTGTGCAAATCTTCGTTCTTTGATCAATTGGCTTATGGATAGTTGTATCAATTTCAACTCTTACATTATTTTTTTTTAAAATATATTTGCATTACACATGCAATGGCAGTACCTTTCCAATTACTATTTATGTGTTGTGTCTAAATTAAAGTTGTAACACTTTATAGTGACTGGAAAGGGTAGAAAAATTCATCAGATGAGAAAAGGCTGTAGATACTTCAAACGGCACTGAATCATTAGATATTGCATCTTATAAAAAGAAACTGAGATTTGGATAGTTCCACTTCAAGGTAAAAATGTTTATCTCTTGTGAAATGAAATAAAAAAAATATTGTAACACTGTAGTTAATTAATAAAGATACTATTACGTGTATTTCTGTATCGGCCTTATTATTGGTTCTCGGCCAGCAGTCAAACGGCACCGAATCATTAGATATTGCATCTTATAAAAGGAAACTGAGATGTGGATAGTTCCACTTCAAGGTAAAAATGTTTATCTCTTGTGAAATGAAATAAAAAAAATATTGTAACACTGTAGTTAATTAATAAAGATACTATTACGTGTATTTCTGTATTGGCCTTATTATTGGTCCTCGGCCAGCAGTATTTGCCTTCCGCTTCGCCTCAGACCAATACACCCAAGACATGGACCAATAACAAGGCCAATACAGAAATACTTACACAATGATATTATAGAATGACAGTATGGTTCAATAACGGGAATCAGCCCCTCAACTACTTTTTACATAAATATTAACTTCTGGCTTCAACGCTTTGTTTGTCTTGTCTGGAGATCTTGCTGTAGTTCCAGTTCAGCAAGCATTTTAGAGACGTATCCCGTCCATCCTCTTTTGACTTCTAATCTCTGGTGATAGATTTTGCCGCTTGACATTGTATCCTTTCAAGCTTGTTTTTTTTTGTTACCGTGTAGGGGTCCCATACTATGGCTCCATATTAAATTATAAGATCCATTCCTAAAGATCTAGATCATTGTTCTAATCTGACACAAATTTCAATAACTGGAATGCTACCCAAGTTGAATATATGGTGACCCACGAGAACAGCATTATCACTATTGAAATTGTGTTTAATACCATGATTGTTCAATGTCATTAACTTAAATGGAGACAGACATTTGACTTGAAAGACATGAAAGGTGGTGTGGGAGTGCAAAATCAAAAACTAACTGACTGATATATGGTTAAAGAATGAATATCAGTTACATGGGTCAACCTTGGCAAGGGCAGAGTTGTTATAAAATAACAATATGGCAGAGAAGTGGTTTCAAGTTTCATATTAAGCGACCTGACTAACATGAAATAAAAAATCGAAGGAGTATCCCTATTTGTCTAATCTTCAAGGTGAAATAAAACTAGTAAAACAATATTATACTATTGTCTAAATATACAGAAATATAATTTGCTTCAAGTAACAGAAATAACTAGGTCACTAGTAACTTATTTAATGAGTATGTGGGGTATAAGAGCTTGGTAACAACAGGCTCTTCATAATCATTTGGTTTGAAAAGGATACTAGTAGTCTATATTCTTGATTTAGAAAAATGTAATTGCAAGAAAAAAATCACATTACTTAGAATACTTTAGATCATTCAGGTAGTCTTTATTTATATGTACAAAAGAACAGCCAGTAGTCATTGGATATTGTAGATCATTCAAATAGTCTTGACCTTTTTATTAGTACAAAAGAACAGCCAGTAGTCATTGGATATTGTAGATCATTCCGGTAGTCTTGACCTATTTATTTATACAAAAAAACAGCCAGTAGTAATTGGATACTGTAGATCATTCAGGTAGTCTTGACCTATTCATTTGTACTGAAAAAACAGACACATACACGAATATCAATTATATGCTTACGAGACATGTTGCAATGTTAAACTTATTACGACATGTGAAAATCAAGACTTGCATAAAAAATATCTCAATATTAGAGACAGTGGCGTCATTTTTCCTCAGAGCTTTCAGCTCTTTGATTACTAGTTTCTATGTCATGTGGTCTCTTGTGGAGAGTTATCTCATTGGCAATCATACCACATCTTCTTATTTTTATAAGATATGCAAATATGTCAGCATAAATGAAATTGTCAGTTGCCTTCTTATATGATTTATTGCCCTTACATTATGGTTGTTTACCCTTTTTGTGTTTTGGGGAAAAAAACTATAGAAGATAGAGAGAAACTGTAAACAGAAAGAAAAGATCAGCAAAACAAGATAAAAAAAATCCATTTCATTCTTGAATTATATCCTATTCTACAATGTTGGAGATACAGGTATGTCCACATCCATTTCTTCAGAAGCAATATCATATTTGGTTGAAAGTGACAATCATGTACTTTACATATGAAAATCACATTTTTATGATTTCCCATACTCATGCTTCAGGGTTTTTGATGATAAAAAGAATATTTCTAGAAATTTTATTTCCCAGTTTATTTGTCAGATACTATTTGACCGACACTCATAAAACATATTGAAAAGAATGCATCTAGGAGAGTATACATTGTACATGTCCCTAGTACAATATATTTTATGAGGATATTAATTTCCAAGATTGTAAAACTTACTGAATTTTCAGCATCATACTGGATGAAGGAAACCAATTTTGTTAACTCTAACAAATGTCAACCAAGAGCTTGCAAGCTTCAAACAAAATGTTTGTCTGATAAACATTTAGTTGTTCACTTCTATTTTTGTAACTTGAATTTTAAATCATGAATAACAAGTCAAGATGACCTCAAACTTTCATTAAATAAAAACAGTTTGGTCAATTAAGCCTTGCAGCAGTGAAAATCCCTACCTGCAATATGCCAATTTTGGAGTTTATTTCCTGTTGTTTTTTTTTTTTTGGCTTACATTTTGAAAATTGATATAGGTAATGAAAAGCTATTAAGAGAACAAATCTGCAATAAAGATTAACAAATAACTTTAAATGATTAAAATACCACTTTCTTGAAGTTATTGCCCTTGAAAAGTTTTGTTTTTATCTCATGGAAAATAGTAAATGTATACTAAAGTTTTAATAGTTTGTACATATTTTTTTTATTTTTGGCTTTGTCATTCCAGAGTTTATGGAACTTTGACCCTTAGATTTTAGGCAATTTTTCACAAATCTCCCAATAACTTTAGTATTCCTGAATTGATTTCCTCCAAACTTTACATTATTGTTGGGATTGATGAAAGGAAGCTCCCTTATGATTTATTTAATTTTCTGGTATGTTGCTCCAGAGTAATGGAACTTTGATTGTTAGATTTTAGAAATTTTTTCACATAGTGAGTCTGTGTACTATAACTTGAGTTTGCTTGGATTGATTAAATGGAAACATTAAATTATTGTTGGAAATGGTGGCATAATTTTTATGCCCCCGCCGTAGCGAAGGGGGCATTAAGTTTTACCCTTGTCTGTCTGTACGTCCGTAC